ATTTGATCTACAAGTGTCCCGAGTGTAAAACAATTCCTCTTATATATAATTTAAGAACACGCTGAACCTAAATGGTAATTTCGCACGCTTCGTAATCTTACATATAAAAATATTATGTTTTGTAATATGGCTTGAATAAAAATTACTAATTATTTTGTACCAAATAACTTATATTCGGATTACCATATATATACAAATATTTAATACGTTTAAATCATTCTATATAAATCTATTTATTATTTTTTTTCTATAATGTACATATAATATTACTTTCCAAATTTTCTGCTTTGTTCATATTATTCTCTTATGTGTTTTAAATAAAAATATTATAAATAAATTAAGGATGTATATAAATTAGTTTTTAGAATTTAAAATTATATTGTTAATTCACTTAATTATTTATTATAAATTGTTATATATTATTTTTTATTTATTTTTTTCAACTTCAACAATATATATATTTTTTTTATTTTTTATTGTATATTAAATTATTTTATCAACCAACTGGGTTATATACGGGTATTGTACTAGTTTAATATTATTTAAGAATTACCACTATTGAGGAGCAAATAGAGCTACATTGACCATTCTAATAAATGTAAATTTAGGGATAAAATCGTATTATCACGCCGTGTTCGTATTTTATTGTTTTCGTGTAATATTTTTACCTGATCATAAATATAATAATAAGTAAAAATCTAATTAAAAAAATTATTTTGTTACACTAGTTTTGTGTTTGAGGTCGTACTATGTTAATACTTGAGGGAAAAGGAAATATGTATTCTAGGATAACTACTTAAATCATAATCATAATCAGTAGAGCAATGACTGTTATCAAAGTTTAGCGATAGTAATCACGGGCCTTAATTTTTCAATTTCCCAAGCGTATGGAAAAATCTTGACAATTTTTTTTTTAAAATGTTTCACAAGTGTGATATAGGTAAAATAAATAATAATCATAATAATAATAAAAGTAATTACGATGGTTAACAATTCTAAACACTTGTTTTTATATATTTCAAAATATTTTTATAAGAAAACATCTCTCTTTCATGGGTATAGCTGAAAACGGGCCAAATAAATAGAGGCCCAATTGTAGTTCATAATTCCAACCTCACACCTATTCATTTTGTGACTTTCCATTTCGGAAACAAAAAGTGACAATAATTTGACTAAAATGCGTATCCGATATTCGTGATTCAACAAAAATAATTAAACAAGTCAAACATTTTCAATTATTCCAATTTGTTATTCGTGATTCGGATTTATAAAAGTTCAAATTCTAATTCCGAATCTGAATCTAAATATGCACATATAGATTCGAAATTAACAAAGATTCACTTATAAATATTATATATAATAGAATTCTTTATAATATAATACATATAATATATTAAATATAATTATAAAACAAAAAAGAAGTTATAATTTAAAAGGAAATTTAATTTATTTATAAATATATATTATATTTAAAAATACACATACACACACACACACACACATATATATATATAACAAATTAAATCGAATATACTTCTGAAAATGATTTCTGAAAATGAATTTTAAATTGAATCGAATATACTTGATTATCTTAATCGACTTGATTAAGAATCACAAATTAAATTAGATAACAAATCGAATGCGAATAGTCGAATATTTTCGCGAATTTGAATCAAATAATTGCGTATTCACTTCGATTTGATTCCTTTACAACCCTAATTACCGGGGTTAAAATCTCCTATGTAATTACAATTTTTCTAATAGATATACAAATTTTAAAATGGAGATGTTCATTAAAAAAAATATTATATTTTAACGAAAAATTAAACAGTAAAATACTCTAATGAAAATTCCAATGGTATTACTATTGTTTGAAAATTCAAGGGAGATCAACATTAAAATATTTTTTATATAATTAAGTTTTCATTGAAATTTGGTTGGAATTTGATGATTTTCCAGCAGCCACTTTTCTGAATATTTATTGTAGGAATTTCGATGGAATTTCTTTTCAGGCTTTAGTTCAACCTTTGAAAAATTTGTTATTGGAATTGTCAAAATTCCACTGAATTTTTAATGGATTACTAATTTTAACGAAAATATTTTCGTTGAAATTTTCGTTAGAATTTGTTGAAAAATTACAATAAAAGTAGTAGCATTGGAATATCCATTAAAAATATTATTAAATATATTTTTGTTAGCATTTCATTATTTTCTTATAGCTAGAGAAGAAAAAAAGGGAACAAAATAAAGAAAATTTTGATATTTCATAAGTTGAAATGTAATAATTCTGCTTGCAAATTATAACTAGTTGACCCGTCTAATCTACTGTTAGATACGTAGGCTACTAACAACAGAATTTGTGCAAGCAGTTGTATGGTAAACTCTTTTCTATATATCTACTTCGAAATTTGAAAATTTCCATTGTCTTTCTTTCTTTAGTATTTACTATTTACCAATTGAAGTAATTTGTTGCTTCGTAAATAATCAATGATGTCAAAGGAATAAATAATTTCTTCCCACTAAGTAAGTGGGTGGAAAGGGCACACTCTTTCCTATGCCGGAAGGTTAACTCCTTCGTTACTTTGAATTCCTTTCCGTCATAACCTTAACCTCTCTAGACGACCTACCTTTATCCATCAATCTCGCTCCTTGGTATGGCAGGCGTCGACTCAACGGCCTGGCCTATGCTGATGAGATCAAGAAGTAATCCAAGGCACGGTGTACTTTTGGATGGGGATCTTTCACTTGCCCGGCATAGTTAGAACAAAAATATCACTCAACTATGTAGAAGGTTTCTTTGGGGATCGAAGGGCGTTCCTGTGGCTTGGGACATCTTATGTCTGCCGCGCTTGGAAGGTGGATTGGGATTTAGGGATTTGAGTGCGTGGAACAAAGCGCTACTTACCCGGACGCTTTGGAACATGCAAGCAAAGAATGACACCTTATGGCGTAAATGGATCCACAATATTTATTTGAAGGGAAACACCATTTGGAACTGGGAAGCTAGACCAAAGGACTCGCCTCTATTCAAAACCCTCTTTGAGATCTGGAAAGTCTTGGTGGAAAAGGCGGGGAGTGAGAATGGTGCGAAAGCCCTTCTTAAAACGTGGAAATCTCGAGAAGGCCAGGATGGTTCAAACAAGTGCTACGAATTCCTAAGACCCAAGGGAACCATGGTGCCGTGGAGTGGTGTTGTTTGGGGGCCGTGTAACACCCACAAACACTCCTTTATCCTTTGGTTGGGAGTGCTCAAGCGGCTACGGACGAGAGACCGACTCGATTTCCTTGAAGAAGATCCGATATGCCCTCTTTGTGGAGAAGTGAATGAATCTTCGAGCCACTTATTCTTTGAATGTACCTTTAGTTCGGAGATCTGGGAAGAGATCCGTACTTTGATTAGCCTCCGACATAGGTCGTCCACACTAAAAGGAGCCCTCAAATGGATAAAAAGGAGGCAAGAGGGAGGGGTTGGCAAACCAAGTTGAAGAAAGAGGCGCTTGCTGCTACCGTATACTTCATTTGGAATGCTCGGAATTGATTGGTGTTTGAGAATGAATACCAAGGTCCGAGTCTTGTAATTCGAAAGGTAAAAACTCATGTTTATCGAACTATTTTTGCTACATACCCGAATGTGCTTGTTGAATTCGAGAGGAGGAGCCTTGGACTTTGAAAGGCATATGGTGCTTGTTTGATGAGGTTTTGAAGTGGCTATTGGATATGGTTTTGCCTTACATGTCGAGGGAAAATATTTGAGGAGCATAGGCCGTTCATCGGAGGCCCGAGCGATGAATTAAAAGCTCTAGGAGTCAAACCATGGTAACCCGGAAAAATTCTGCTATTCCGCGCATGCGAAACAGGTTTCGCGAGCCAACACCATTTCGCAAGCCAAGCTCGCGCCCGCGAGTCCAATTTCGCGGGGTACCAGCTATTTCGCGGGACCAAGGCACGAACAGAGGCTAAATAGGCAGAATTTCGAGCCTACGAAGTCACCTATCCTGCGAGACCTCAGATCCACGCGCGCGACCTCCTTCGCGAGCTCGCGCGTCCTGACCCTGCACGCGAGCTACCCTGCGAGTTCCAGATCCGCGCCGCGCGACCGACCCCAGGAGGTCGCGAGTCCAGCTACCGAGAGAACTCTTTACCCAGCGATTTCCTCAACCGTGCGCGCGACCTTCCGCACGAACCCGCGAGTCCAGCTATACGCCATCCGTGCGCGCGAGGTAAAATGTTGTTTTGCGAACGTTCGGGACCGTATGAACTCGGTTTTCAGTGCCGTTTTTTCCTATGTGTACCCAATGAACTGTTATATGAGACCTATGAATGAACTTTTTCATTTTGTTTTATCACGCGAACGAGGAACCGACTTGTGGTTATCCATTTCGTTTTGTAGCCAAAGTTAGGACTTTATGTAGTGTGCATGTAACAAACATTTAGCTTTTTTTTTTCTTATTTTAAAGATTTGGAGTCAGAAATCATGGAACATTGTTATAAAGGGTTATCAATCTTCATTTATAATCTTTAGGAGATTTTTGGTCAGGGCACTTCTAGTGTATAATAAAATGCCACGTTTTCGAAAATAGGTGTAATGCAGCCCAAATGGGAGGAATATATAAAGCTTATCAGAAGAAAGGGATATGCTTTTTTTGAGGTCTTATTTTAGCTCCTTTTTGCTTCAATTTTTTTAGTTACTTATTATAGTACAATATGCAATATTCTATTGGTGATATTTATGATTGTTGATCATGTGTTTAGATAAGATAAGGCTCATTATGTTTTAGTGCATTCAAATTAAATTGATTCAAATTAAATTGTTTCAGGTTTCAAAGATTGGACAATCGTATGAAAACTGGAATGAAAATTAATGTACTTAAGCCAAGTAAATGGAACGAAAATTAATTGTACTTCAGACAATCGTATTCAAACGAACTGAAGTGTAACTTCAATTTTTACAACTTGAACTAAAAATAGATAACAAAATTATAAATCAAAAGTCGAAAGACAATATCCGAAGTGAGTGTTGAGATCGGCGAATGTGAACGGAGCCAAGATTGAGCAATATGTATGTGCGTGAGGCTATGTGAGATGCAAGGATGTAGATGAGATTGTGTTGTGTTTCTGCAGCTCTACCATATTCTATTAATAGAATTTACAATCAGGTAAGGGATGACCAGTCAGCTGCCACTCAGGGCAGGTAACAGCCCAATTATGGCTGCTATAAGTGGCATTAAACGGCCTGACTATTTTTTAGGTGTCAACTCACCTTCATCCACCTGATAAGGTCACACGAGTTGGGTCAAAACTTGAGTCTAAATCCAACTTAGTTTGAAATTTTCATTTCGGGCTACAATTTTATAAATAAATTTGCAACAAAAAGAATATAAGGGTTGGGCTCAAAAGACCAAACCCAAATTGTCCAATGCAGCCCAAGTCCAGCCTACAGTCCAATTGACAAGAACCTAGGCCCAAGCCCGAGCCCAAGTCGAGCCGGCAGGCTGGGCACGCGCGCGCATGTGGCCTTAGTCATCACCATAATTTGGTGCATAGTTTCGTTGTTGATGTTACATCTCCAACTCCTTTTATTATAATAAAGATAGTTAATCTCATTTAAGAGTCAAATGTGGGAAAGAACTATTGACCATTCAAATCCCACCATCAACGTTTTATGTGTCCACTAATGGCTAATTTAATCTCAATCATTTATTTCTCACTCGCCGAAAATCAATTTCAACAAAATAAATATACTATGCGTATATACTCGGAACATTTCATTTTTATACACAATTTAATTCAATCCGATTATTAGTGATAAAAAAAATCAGTCAAAATTACGTCAAATCCAATTTTTTACAATTTCTAAAATAGTCAGGAGTAGTAACCTCTGTCTACCCTATGAAATTTCTCCTAGTTACAAGAGAGTGTCCATTTATCTTTATTATTTGTTCTCACTAAGAAGAAAAGGAAATTCTCAAACTCACTAACATCATCGAAATCGACCCAGAGGCAGCTAAATTGCAATTGTACACTGCATCAAAATGGACCCCGAAACTGTTTGCCTGAAAAAGAAGTCTTTCATCACAGCACTATCTACAGTTTTCATGTCCATTTATCTTTTAAAACTACAATTGTCTAGATGAGATGAACTTTTTCATCCTTTTTTTTTTCTCCTCATTAATAATGTTTCATTACATTATTAATTTTGACAAGGAGACAGCTTTTTTGGATCATGTTTTCTTCTGCCTTAGCAGTACACACACACAAAATGGCTTGCTTTAANTCTTACATTATGAAAATTGAGACATGCCTTGAATTCCAGGCAACATGATGGGACTGTTTGGAGCACAATAGCCACTGAAACTAACTTTATAAACAAATGGTGCAACTGAAAAGAAAGCAACCAAACATGCCATATGCATTGTGACAAGATTAGATTTTGGGCATGTATATATAGATTGGGTAACACGTGTGAGGCTGTGATTGGTTTGATGGAGTGATTCATCCTGACTGGTGAGTTGCATGGGCCAATTGGCATTTTGGACTGCATGAATAACATTATTACGGATATGGGCCTTGTTTGTTTTGTTGGACCTGAAATTTTTGTAGGGGTTTTTGGTTGGGTTTGTTAAAATTATTATATTTACTAGCTAATCAATGTTGTAATACTGTCTAAGATCATTAGTATACATTTTATACGAGAATTTATTATTGCGTAAGCAATTTTTGATACCTTAAGTGTATAATTAAATCGTTAGTTTGGACATTCGTTTTGTCTTCTCTATATGAAAATTATTTAACCAAACTATTTCGATTTCAATAACATACCTCAAAGTAGAACTTAACTACTACAGTTGTTTTGGGTAAATTATGACATCCAATCAAAAAATTCGTAACTGTGAGTGGTATTTAGTAAATGTTGGAATATCACTTGTGATTTGTCCCATACTGATTCTACAGGGTAAATGAAAAAAGTTTATAAGCCTAGTGGGTTACTCCTCCCATCACCAATTAGTTTTGGGATGGAACCTTACTATGGTGCACTTAGGGGTGAGTATGAGAATCTCCAAACCGTACCGAAGTTCGGATATCACTAAAATTTGATCTCTAGAACCGTACCAAAAAATTGGTTCTGTCCGATTCGGAGATTGTTATTTTTCGGTTCTGTTTGGTTCGGTTTTCGAGACTATCGGAACGATTTGGTTCAGTTCGGATATTCGGAGATTTCTTATCATTTTTTAAATTTTTTTGAGTGACCACCTAGTTATATTTTATTTTTTATATGTTTTTTTTTTAAATCCAACATTCATCAATACTTCATCATACTAGAAATTTTATTTTTAAATCAACATTAGAAGTAACCCTAAATTTTAGTTAAGACTAAATTCAACTAACATTGAAAATTTAAAATTCAAACAAAATATAATACAGTTTTATATTAAAGTAATATTTATTTAACCTTCCATACCATATTAGTTATAAGATAAACTAAGACTAAGTATCGACAACTTTAAATAAAGCTTAAATATTTATTTATTTTTTTCAAATCTTTAACCTTTCATTCCATTTTAATTTTTTTTAAACCGGAGAAATTCAATCATAAATCTAGTATTACCAAACATGAAATGTAAGTGAATCTTAATTATTATTTGCATATTAATAACACACGTCTATTTTTATAATTCGGTTCTTCGGTTTGGTACGGTACGGGACGGTTCGGTTCGGTGCGGAGAAAGTCAAAGGTCAATGGATATTTTTCGGTTCGGAGTGATTCCGGTTCGATTTTTAGAACGGTTCAGAATTCTCCGAGTCTCATGCTTTGCCCTAGGTGTACCTAGGTTCACCCTCTTATGGTGCGCTTCACTTGGTGGGACCGCACCCTCTTGCCCCGGTTAATAGTAAAATATAACATAGGGTTATTTACAAAACATGCTAATCCTTAAGTGGTCTTTGATTTACTCTAATTTATAGGTTTGGCAAATTAATCCCTCAAGAAAATTTATTCATGATATTCCGATGATTTTTATGTAATACTCCAAGTCATAAATTGGAAAACCTTGAAAAGTATTTTTATTGGCATATTAATTTATTTATGATATATATAGGTTCATATGATGAATTTATTGTTTGCAATTAATTTACCACTAATGTTTAGTTTAGTACAATTTTCTAAGTAGCTTCTAGAAATATATTAAGTGTAATTTGTAACTAATGTATACTATAAATAATAAATTAATGAACTTATTAAAAACTAAGTTATTTATAACCAATGTAATTATCACTAAAATCTCATATCTGAAGCTTTTTTCACAAGCTTTTTTGAAATGAGCTTTTCTTAGAATGAAAAAACTCATCTATAGTTCTTTTCACCAAACGTGTTAAGTAGATGATTGATAGATCAAACCTTTGATTAGGGTCTAAACCTTTTATTTTAAATCAATATTTTTTTTTAGGTCTCACTCAATGTGAAAATTATATACACACTTATGTACACTATCATGTACCTATAACATTTCTCTACCAAATTATACTTTTCCAAATGAATCGTTTCAATTATACAAGATTAAATCCAACAATGCAAATCTTCAAAGATTGAGATTAATTGAAAAAAAAAAGAAAAAAAAAAAGCTAGC